TGAGGAGGGAGGGGGTGGGAAGAAAGGGGAGAGATTTGGCGGATTCCGGGGAAGGATCAAGAGAAGCCCGGCCAAGCAGACCCTGCCTCTGCCCTTAGGGGGGGTCACACGCTCTCCTTTGCTTCATCTGGGTACATGGCGGGGGGTCTGAGCTTTACAGTGAAAGGTGGGGAAACTGAGGCATCAAGTGGCCTGTTTCTCCGACTGTAAAATGCAGCAGGGACTCCCGATTGCCTGCCCAGATGTCCTGGGAGCTCTGCACGTTTGGTGAGAAAGCCCGTCTCAGGCCACAGTGCTGACGCGGAGTCACGCACACAGCACACACTATGGATAGGTGGGCAGGGTACAGCGTCCTTGCATTTCCAGCCACAGGCAGCAGAGGGCGCTGCCCCGCCGCCTGGGATCTTAGGATCCATACAAGGCAGACCTACCTCTGACCAGTCAGAGGCCTTTCTCCTGGAGCCAGGGCCAGCGCAGGGGGGAATGGTGGGCACGGGGAGCTAAGCGATGTGCCAGAGGTGCCAGAGGTGCCAGAGGTGCCGGGCTGGCCTACGAAGGGGTGAAGCTGGCTCGGCGCCGGCATGATGGGCTCTGTGACCCCGACAGACCGCTGGCCTTTTCTGGACCCGTTTGCTCCATCCGTCCATGGGCACAGAGAGGCAGAGCACGATGGAGCCCAGAGGGGAAGCCGGGCAGGGGTTCGGCTCAGGAGGGCTGGGGACAAGCAGGGCTCAGGTCCCTTCCCGCCTCCCCACACGCAGCCCTGGAACGAAGGCTGAAAGAGTCAAACCACAAGCCGACCGAAACTCCAGGTGGGACACCCTGGGCTCTGAGCCCTTGCCAGCTCCCTGGAGAGGACCTGCAGGCCCAGCTTGGCTGCCAACGTGGGGCACATGCAGTCCCAGCCCCCCCGAAAGCACAGGACGCAGCTCTCTCCAGGCAGGGTGTCCAGGTTTCGGGCCCCGCTAGCCCCGCCCCGGGCCTGGCTGACTGCTCACAGCAGTGAGGTGCCAGCACAATGACCAGGCCGCAGGGCTAGGAACCCCCTCCTGGGCTCCCACACCAAGTCGCTGGGTGGCTGGGGCCCTCAGCCAGGTCCAGGTCCTCCTTCCCAAGGGCAGGGGGAGGAGGCCACCCCGTCCCACCTCCCCATCTCCCCAAAGGTACCTGACTTTAGACCCAACAAAAAGCAGAGTGGAGGGGGCTCGTAGACTGAGCTGGAATGCCTGGGCAGGGCCTGGGGTCGTGCAGAGTCTGTGCGGCCTCCTTTGCCAGAGGCTGGGGGACAGGGATGTCCCTGGACCGAATGGGGAACCTCTAGAGCAGCGGTTCTCAACCTGTGGGTCGCGACCCCTTTGGGGGTCAAATGACCCTTTCACAGGGGTCGCCTAAGACCATTGGAAAACACATATATCATTACATATTGTTTTTGTGATTCATCACTATGCTTTCTTTTTTTAAAAAATATATTTTATTGATATTTTACAGAGAGGAAAAGAGAGGGATAGAGAGTTAGAAACATCAATGAGAGAGAAACATCGATCAGCTGCCTCCTGCACACTCCCTACTGGGGATATGCCTGCAACCAAGGTGCATGCCCTTGACTGGAATCGAACCTGGGACCTTTCAGTCTGCAGGCCGACGCTCTATCCACTGAGCCAAACCAGTTAGGGCCACTATGCTTTCATTATGCTCCATTTTGTAACAATGAAAATACATCCTGCAAATCAGATATTTACATGACGATTCATAACAGCAGCAAAATGACAGTGATGCAGTAGCAACGAAAATAATGTTATGGTTGGGGGTCACCACAACATGAGGAACTGTATGAAAGGGTCGCGGAATGAGGAAGGTTGAGAACCACTGCCCTAGAGGAAGTGCAAGAGCTTAAATGGACCAGATAATGAATCGAGCAGAAGGGTCTCACGTGATCCGTATTGCTTATGGGCCCCAAACTGAGGATAGAATGAACTCCGTCCTCGGCTCTGGAGGGTCCCCCACCAGGAGAAATCCCGCATGCAATCCTGGGCCTGAGCCAAGGAACTTTTCTTCCCCCTTGGAGGTCATGCCCCAGCCCAGGCCCTGGGCATGCGCGGTCAGCGTCTGGCACAGGCGGTCACACAGATATGCCAGCCCGAGCTGCTGGCCGCCCATAACCCGGTCCCCACCTCTGGGGACCCCCTGGGGCAGGACTTCAGGGACAGCCTCAGCGTGCCCTTGCCCAGCGGTTCCCCTGATGCGAATTCATCCTGATTAGAAAAGATTAAAGGCACCAGTGAAGGCATACTGCTGAGTGACAGAACCAAGCTGCAGAAAAAAAAACACAAAAAAACCCACACATTCCGTGCGGCACCATGGATATAAGCAAAAACATCAGAAAACAAGAATCTAAAAAATCCCTACATAGAAAGTCATCGAATGACACCCTGCATTTTGTAAAGATCTACTGTGCAAAAGCACCGACGAAGGCCCCAGTTCTCACCAAATCCCTAATAACGGACCCCGTCTTATTTGGTGGGAGGGGAGGTCTGGGTTGGGGGGGGAGAGAGTCAAGGAAGACTTTACTCTTCACCTGTAATGTTGACATTTTTGACAAGGAGATTATATAGTTTAAAACTGCATGTTAATGTACAATTTTAAACTACAGTAGGGCCTTGACTTACGAGTTTAATTCGTTCCGTGACGGAGCTCGTAACTCAAATTACTCGTATGTCAAATCATAAAGTGAACGAGTGAGACACGTGATGCTGGGCTGATGTCGTGGCGTTCACTGTGACGCTCGCTGTGCCAACTAGCGGTGGGGTATCGGAAGCTGGCTCGATAACCTGAATTTTAGCTCGCAACTCAAAGCAAAAAATCGGCTGAGAGATGGCTGGTATCTTGAAAAACTCGTTAGTCGGGACACTCGTAAGTCAAGGCCACACTGTGTTTGTAAAATTGGAAGTATAAGGATATTCCTCTGTGGAAAACTGTAAGGCATCTCAGTATATACCAGAGAACTTGTTACTAAAGTGTTACCACCACACCATGGAGTACATGGCAGGCCTCCAAAATCTCGGTTTAGAAATACAGGTACTGCCCTAGCCAGTTTGGCTCAGTGGATAGAGCGTCGGCTTATGGACCAAAGGGTCACGGGTTCGATTCCGGTCAAGGGCACGTACCTCGGTTGCAGGCTCCTCCCCGGCCTGGGCCATGGTTGGGGCGCGTGCAGGAGGCAAACAATCGATGTTTCTCTCTGTCTTTCCCTCTCTCTTCCACTCTCTCTGAAAATCAATGAAAAAATATCCTCGTGTGAGGATTGAAGAAAAAGAAAGAAATAATGTACAGATACAGAAAATGATCTTAATACATCAGTGAGAAAAACTGGTCACAAAACAATGTGCTCTTTAAATACCCACAGGGTCTAGAATAGGTAATTGTAAGGCAAACATTCATATCAGCATTAGTCACTGGTTATCAGCAATAACCAAATGGTGGAAACAACCCCCGTGTCCATTGACTGATGAATGAGTAAACACATGTGGTAGATCCATACAATGGAATAGTATTCAGCCATGAAAAGGAATGAAGTTTGGACACATGCTACAGCATGGATGACCCTTGAATACATTATGCTAAATGAAGTAAGCCAGACACCAAAAGACAAATACTATATGATTCCACTTATAGGAAATACCTACAAAGTCAAATTCAGAAGCCCAATAGAGGTTACCGGAGGTTGGGGGGAGGTGGGTAAAGGAGAGTTGTTGTTTAATGGGGTACAGAGTCCTACCTGAGGTGACAAAAAATATTTTAGAAATAGAAGTGGTGCCGACACCGGTTTGGCTCAGTGGATAGAGCGTCGGCCTGCGGACTGAAAGGTCCCAGGTTCGATTCCGGTCAAGGGCATGTACCTGGGTTGCGGGCACATCCCCAGTGGGAGATGTGCAGGAGGCAGCTGATCGATGTTTCTCTCTCATCGATGTTTCTAACTTTCTAGCTCTCTCCCTTCCTCTCTGTGAAAAATCAATAAAATATATTTTAAAAAAAAAGAAATAGAAGTGGTGATGGTTGCACACATTGTGAGTGTAATTAATTTCACTAAATTGCACACTTAAAATGATTAAGATGGCAAATCTTAATATATATATATCTATATCTATATATATATCTATATATATATGTCTATATATATATAGATATATATATATCTACAATTTAAAAAATTATAAATGTGCCCTCGCCGGTTTGGCTCAGTGGATAGAGTGTTGGCCTATGGACTGAAGGGTTTGATTCCGGTCAGTGGCACATGCCTGGGTTGCAGGCTCGATCCCCAGTAGGGGGCATGCAGGAGGCAGCCAATCAATGATTCATTCTCTCTCTCTCTCTCTCTCCTCTCTCTCTCTCTCTCTCTCTCCCCCTTCCTCTCTGAAATCAATAAGAATATATTTTAAAAAATGAACAGGTGAATGTATTGTATGTGAATTGTATCTCCATTAAGTTCTTTTTTTTAAATTAAACCTATCGGGGGGACACTGGCTATCATATAGGTGTCAGGTGTGGAATTCCATGTTACAGGATCTGTATATCACACTGTGTGCCCAACACCTTTCTTTCTGATATAAAAAGTTATTTATAAAAGTAAAATACCAGGGTATATATACAGAAGAACACCCACAACACATAAAAAGCCCGACACGCTCTCTCTCATGCCTCCATGTATGTGCCCGTGTATTTGTGGGGATGCCTAGAAAGGGTTGGGATGCAGAGAGATGGACCAACATGCCATCGTGGTTCCCTCTGGGTGGATGAAACTGGGGGCGTTTAAGATCCCCTTCTTTTTGATTGTCTGTACAGGGTATCATCTCGATATTCTTTTTTAAAACATATTTTTATTGATTTCAGAGAGGAAGGGAGAGGGATAGAAAGATAGAAACATCAATGATGAGACAGAATCATTGATTGGCTGCCTCCTGCTTGCCCCCTACTGGGGATCGAGCCCGCAACTCAGCCATGTGCCCTTGACTGGAATCGAACCTGGGACCCTTCAGCCCGCAGGCTGACGCTCTATCCACCCTGCCAAACCAGCTAGAGCTCATCTCAATTTTCTGTGACAGCATTCCTTGCTTTGGTAAAGTAAAGAAAAAAGGGAAGGAGGGGAAGGAGGGGAAGAAGGGTGGAGAGAGACTTTGCAGAACCACCCCCCACGCTTGTTTGCATTCCAGCAAGAGTGGGCACCACTTATTCTCCCCTTCGTCCCTCCCATGAGCTGCAGGACTTCGGACGGTCACTCCTCGCCAGCAGGGCGGCAGGCAGGATTTGTGGAGTGCCACGAGCTGAACACATGGTGCCAGCCCTAATCATCTCAGCAAAGAAACCCATTTCACAGATGATAAGACTGAGGCTCAAGGGGATTGAGCCCAGGCAGGCTGGCTCTAGGCTTAAGCTGCCGCTACCGGGCCCTGGCACACCAGCCTCCTCAGCTCAGCTTTCTTGTTGGAGTGAGAGCAGGGGGGTTCCCTCCATGCCCTGCCTGCTGGGTACCTGTGGCCCCCAGCCAGCTCCCCATCCCTGTGCTTCTCCAGCCAACAATGGCCACATTCTTCCCTCCTTCCTCAGAATTTCTGTGGACTCATTGCCTCCCTGAGCCCAAACTCCTCACCCAACAGGAATTCCAGCTCCCGTCTGCTCATCCACACCCTTTCCACCCGTCCCCATCCCCGTCCTGGGGTCCCAGCCCGCATGGCGTTGCCCTGGGCCTTCCACTCCCAGACTTGGGCTCCCACCTTTCCCCGCTGCCTGGAATGTCCCACCTCCGCTTGGAGGAAACCCCGCAATTTCAGGCCCCTCCTTTCCTTCTGCAACCCGCCCCACTGACCAGCCAGGGAGCAGGTCTGTCGCCCACGGGCTCCCAGCACACCAGGCCACCGCAAACCCAGAGCCCACTGGCTCCTCTTTCTCCTCCGGCTCGAGCTCCCAGCGGGCAGCGACTGGTCCCTGCTGGAGCCTGGGCCCCGGGCGGGGGGAGTTTCCCGGTGGTGTGGTGCGCGACCCTTGTGGGGTCAAATCCTGGCTCTGGGGACCTTAGGCAGAGGATGGGCCTCTCTGGGCCTGGTTCCCACCTGAGCAAGGGGAGAACAGTGGGCCGAAGTCCTGGGTTTGTGCCCTGAATGGCTATGCAGGCAGCGCTGGGCACTGACGTTACAGAAGGCCTGGGAAGACCGGGGCAGGGAGCTCCAGTTCCAGCAGCTGCTCTGTGACCTCGTCCTGGTGGCTGTCAGTCTCTGGGCCTCCCGGTGACACTGATGGCGCTCTGCCTGGCACGGCCTTGTCATTGGGCTTCCCTGGCTGTGCCCAGAGTCATGACCAGCACCTGGGCCGGGGAGAAACAGTATCTGGGCAGGCGGACTCAGGGTGTCCGCCCTCGCCATCTGGGGACATAGAATCTGCCTTTCCCTGGGGCCCCCCAGAGTGGGGACCTGCAGCTCCCCACACACACACACCCCAGAAGTGCGCTCCAGGAATTCCAAAGGGGCCTGCTGCCGGCTGTTTTGGAGGCCCCTGCACACCCTCGTTCCCAAGGTGACACCTCGTGCCCTGAGGGAGGCAGCCTTGTGTCAACAGGCAGAGCAGAGGTGTGAAGGCAGCCACAGTGGCCAAGGGGGCGGCTGGGCTGGCCCGCACTGCTGGCTGGTAATGAGAATACCACATGGCACCGCAGCCCCACACGCTGGCCTCCCGCCTTCCCTCCCCTGTTCCCACAGCCGGTCCACCCCGAGGGCCTGAAGGGAAAGACAACCTACGGGGCAGGGGCCAGGCCGTAACCTGCCCCCAGCCTTGGACCTGCTCCCGGGGGCCCTGGATGCCCGCCCGGGAGAAAGAGCAGGTGCAGAACAAACGGGGAGGCCTGCGCTGAGCCACCGAGAGCAGACCTGGAGCAGCCCCCACCCCCACACACCCCAACAGCCCTTCTCATCTGACTGCGGGTCGGGGGCAAAGTCCTGGGGAGTCCACAGGGGATGATGGGACGGAGGCGTCAGTGTCCTCACCTACATAATAGGTGTATTGACGTGGGCACTGCCGGCCTCACAGCGCCCAGCCGACTGCAGCCGCGCAGACAAGCTCAGCCAAAGGTGGAGGTGGCTGTGGTTCCAGCCCCAGAGCAGGCCCGGCTGAGCCAGAGCTTCGGGCTCCGAGGAGAGCAGGCCTGGGGGCGTTCCCAGTGCCAGGGAACCTGTGGGGCCCCTGAAGCGCCCTGTGGCTCCCTCACCTAGACTGCCCAGAGCCCAAGGCAGCATCCCCCCTCCTCTCCTGCTTCTGGGCTTCAGCTCTAAAAGGACCTCAGGCCTGACGGCGTGGCTCAGTGGTTGAGCATCGACCTATGAACCAGGAGGTCACTGGTTTGATTCCCGGTCAGGGCACGTGCCCGGGTTGCGGGCTCCATCCCCAGTGTAGGACGTGCTAGAGGATCCATGATTCTCTCTCATCATGGATGTTTCTCTCTCTCTCTTCCTCTCTGAAATCAATAAAAATATAAAAAAATAAAAAGGATCTCAGGGTTGTCAGGTCCAACTCTCTGCTGGTGGAGCCTGTCAGGTGGGCAGAGGCAGGACCAGCCTCCCACTGCACTGGGCCTACCGAGCAGGCGTCTGGCCTCTCCTTGGTCACCTCCAGGGACGGGCCACTCACTCCCAGACAGTCCCTCTGACCTTGGAGAGTTCTTCACTCTCTCGGGAGTGTTCCCCTCCAGCCGCCTGGAGACATCCCATCGCCTACTTTTTTCCTTTTTGGACAAAGCACCGAGGCCTTTAGCTATTTCTCTAGCGACCTGGCTCCAAGCCCCCTCGCCAGCCGCCCTCCCCTGTGTTTGTCCTTGTCCCTCAGGAGCTGTGGCCCCCAGGCTGAGACCAGCCTCCGTGGTGGAAGACCTTGCTGGTCCTGATCGGGAAGGGGATCACATCTGCTTCTCGTGGCCTCGAAGCCTGGAAGGCAATGGCTTCCGTGCCCTTTCCGAACGTGCAGCTGGTGACACGGTGCCCCCTGGCCCTGGGCTTAGAGGGGGGCACACAGGGCTCCGTTGATGCCACCGAGTTAGATCTGATGCTGCTTCCAGCCTGTCCAGGATATCCTAGATCCTGGCTGTTACCCAGTTCACGCCTCGGGTTTGGCTCTTACCCTACATGAGGTCCGTTCGTATCTTCATTCAAGTCCACAGGCTGCCCCGGCCAAGACTGGGAACAGAGCTGGCGGCACATCACGAGGGACCTTCCTCCAGGGAAACATCCGCCCATTCATCTGTGGGGACAACGAAACTGTGATGAATCCACTAAACTGTCATCCAGCTCACATGGCCCCCGTGTTCAGGAGGGTACTCTGGGAGCGTCTCCATCACGCGGACAGGAATGGTGTCTGGCTGCTCATTGCACGCACCCAAAATGACAACGACCTGAACAAGACGGTGGGGCCCGGCTGGTGTGGCTCAGTGGTTGAGCGTCGACCTATGAACCAGGAGGTCACGGTTCGATTCCCGGTCAGGGCATGTGCCCAGGTTGCGGGCTCGATCCCCAGTGTGGGGCGTGCAGGAGGCAGCCGATCAATGATTCTCTCTCATCATTGATGTTTCTATTGCTCTCTCCCTTCCTCTCTGAAATCAATTAAAAAACAACAACAAAAAGCAAGATGGTGATTCATTTTCTCGCACATTAAAAAAACTCACGGGCAGACAGTCCGGGGCTAGTGTGGCACTTCTGTGTCGTCACTGATGCCTCGGGCTTCTTTCTGCTCCACCACCCTCAGTGCGTGACTTCCGTCCTTGAGATTGCCTCCCGGTCACAACATGGTTGCTGGAGCTCCAGCCATCACACCTATTTTCCAGAAAATGCAAGTGGTTAGAGCAGCCGTGGGCAAACTACGGCCCGCAGGACAGATCCAGCCCGTTTGAAATGAATAAAACTAAAAAAAAAAAAAAAGACCGTACCCTTTCATGTAATGATGTTTACTTTGAATTTATATTAGTTCACACAAACACTCCATCCATGCTTTTGTTCCGGCCCTCCGGTCCAGTTGAAGAACCCATTGTGGCCCTCGAGTCAAAAAGTTTGCCCACCCCTGGGTTAGAGCCACAGGAGGATACCTCCCTGCTTTAAAGCACTTTCCTCAAAGCCCCATTCAATACTTCCACCAACATTTTATTGGCCATTCCATCTGCAAGGGAGGCTGGGAACTGTAGGGGCTTTTTTTTTTTTTTTTTTTTAAATAATTTATTTTTATTGATTTCAGAGAGAATGGGAGAGGGGAGAGACAGAAACATCCATCATGAGGAGAATCATCGATCGGCTGCCTCCTGCATGCCCCACACTGGGGATGGAGCCTGCAACCTGGGCATGTGCCCTGACTGGGAACTGAGTCTCGACCTCCTGGTTCATAGGTCGATGCTCAACCACTGAGCCACTGTGGCCAGGGGGTGGGGGTGGGGGGGTGGGGACTGTAGGCTTTTAGCTGGGCATGTAACCGTCCACAATACAGACTCCTGTTATTAAGGAAGAGAGAAGAATAGAGGCTGTACCACATGCTGTGTGGACAAGTACAAGTCCCCGCCACACTTGTCAACATTCTACTGGCCCTGTTTCATAGATCTAAGCACCAGCTATCTCTTCAGCTGGTTAAGGGTGCAGCTGAGACTCCAAAACCCAGGTCTGTCCGGTTCCTCAGCCCCACCCCTAACCATTAGGCTACACTCCCTCCCTGTGCAAAATGGAGGCCCAGTGGGAGGATGCAGTTGGTCTCCACCTGGTGAGTGGGGCTGGCAGACAGTGCCCCTGGGCCGCAGAGCCTGGATCCCAGGTCCCCTGAAGAGCCACAGGCCAGAGCAAGCCAGGCCCCAGGCCCCACTTTCCAGAATGTGTGCCCTGACATCCCACAGTCAGTCTAAGGCCCAGGCTCTGCGGCGAGCACAGACCAAGAGCAAAAAGAACGCAGGGCTCGGTGCTGGGTGGACTCCCATCATGCACCCAATCCTTTCCCAGGAAATCCCTCTGGATTGGCCCCAATGGGTGATGTGAGGGTGGGATGGGAGAGGGAAGGAATAATTCTGGGTGTTTATTTTTTAAATATATTTTTATTGATTTCAGAGAGGAAGGGAGCAGGATAGAGAGAGACAGAAACATCAATGATGAGAGAATCATTGAGCGGCTGCCTCCTGCACGCCCCACACTGGCGATCAAGCCCGCAACCCGGGCATGTACCCTGACTGGGAATCGAACTGCGACCTCCTGGTTCATAGGTCGATGCTCAACCACTGAGCCACGCCGGCTGGGCAATACTGGGTGTTTAGAACCTTCCTGAAGTTCACAAGGGTACTGTACCACTCCAAATCTAGCCGACTGTGCACATGGCAGCGCTCCTGGGCCAAAACTGAAAACATTCCGAAGTTCTATCAATAGGAAACCGACTAGCCTGGCTGGCTTGGCTCAGTGGATGAGCATCGACCTAAGTACAAGGTCACTGTTTGACTCCCAGTCAAGGGCACATGCCTGGGTTGCGGGCTCAATCCCCAATGTGGGGCGTGCAGGAGGCAGCTGATCCATGATTCTCTCTCATCATTGATGTTTCTATCTCTCTCTCCCTTCCTCTCTGAAATCAATAAAAATATTTTAAAAAAGAAAGTGACTATGGTGTAAGCAGGCTGTGGAATATTATACAGCAGTTAAAAAGGGTGAGTTGGAAAGCTCCAGATCAACAGCACATGAATCTGAAACTTCAGAATCCAGATCCAGAAATATACATGAAACCTGATGAATTTCATTTACAACTGTCAATTTCATGCATATAAATTCCTTGCTAGTACAATCTGTCCAAGCTTTACAGTCCTGTGTAGCTTTGGATGAATGATTATTTACTTGCGTTTGCCATTATTTCAACCTCAAAAGTGTAGGACGCCCTGGCCGGGTGGCTCAGTTGGTTGGAGCATGGTCCTGTACACCAAAAGGTTTCGGGTTCAATTCCCGGTCAGGACACATACCCGGGTTTTGGGTTCGATTCGCAGTCGTGGATGTGGGAGGGAACTGATCGCTATTTCTCTTTCAATCTCTCTCCCGTCTTCTCTCTGTAAAAATCAACAAAAACATATCCTCGGGTGAAGATTAAAAAAACAAAAGCAAAACAGAAGAGCAGGACTGAATGTTTTCTAAGTCCACTCTGCCCTCAGGAAAAAGCACTTTGGTATTTTTTTAACCTGGGTTGAAGCCCTTTTAAGTCATGAAATGTTGCGTAACTAACTGCTTCTTTCCAAAGAAAGCCTGTTTAAAATCAGGCATGGTTAACGGATTCCATGTTCTTTTTGTGTTATGGATAAAGTTTCCTGTCCTCATCCATAGCAGCTACAATAAACCACACAACAGCTGCCCTGACCTGTTACTCCAGGCCAGTTATTACTTCATCATCATGTTACAGTGCTAACATGAGCATCTTTTCTCCAACATATTTTAAAATAAGTTCTGAGGAGGCCTAACCGGCGTGGCTCAGTGGTTGAGGGTTGACCTATGAACCAGGAGGTCATGGTTCGATTCCGGTCATTACCGGAAACGAGAGATGGCTCCATCCCCAGTGTGGGGCGTGCAGGAGGCAGCCGATCAATGATTCTCTTTTATCATTTTTTAAAATTTTTTATTAGTTAAGGTATTACAAATGTGTCCTCATCCCCCCCCCCATTTCTCTTTTATCATTGATGTTTCTTTCTTTTTTTAAAAAAAATATATTTTTATTGATTTCAGAGAGGAAGGGAGAGGGAGAGGGAGAGAGAGAGAGAGAAACATTAATGATGAGAGAGAATCATGGACCAGCTGCCTCCTGCATGCCCCACACTGGGGATCAAGCCCACAACCCAGGTACATGCCCTTGACCAGAATCGAACCTGGGACCCGTCAGTCCGCAGGCTGACGCTCTATCCACTGAGCCAAACCGGCCAGGGCTATCATTGATGTTTCTATCTCTCTTTCCCTCTCCCTTCCTCTCTGAAATCAATAAAAAAATATATATTTTTTAAAAATTATCTTCTATGATGGAAATGGATGAACACTGAAATCAACTACGACCAACTCGAGTGAGCTCCATATGTCCTCACGTGGAATGCTCTAATATACGCTGCCGAATGAAGAAAGAACAAGTTATAGGCTGGCATGTGCAACGGGCCATGTTACTGACTTTATTCTCTGTGTGACTTCTAAGGACATATGTTGACTGAGGTGAATGCATGGACCAGGTGTGGAAGGACACCTGACGACCCTTTACCAATACCTGTGCCCATTCGGGGGAAGGGGGGGTTTACAGGGGCTCCAGCTCTAACTCTTGTTTCCATTTATTACAAAGAGAATGTATTTATTATGTTATTTGTGTAACTAAAAGTTAATTTTTTAAAAGCAGCCACAAAATACTAGAAAGCCATTTACTTTTTTTCTTTTAAAATATGTTTTTATTGATTTCAGAGAAGAAGGGAAAGATAGAAACATCAATGATGAGAAAGAATCATTGATCGGCTGCCTCCTGCACAACTGCCGCCCACCTCCCCCCCCCCCCCCCCGCCCCCACGTGTGCCCTTGACCGGAAATGAACCCAGGACCCTTCAGTCCACAGGCCGACACTCTATCCCAGGGATGGCGAACCTTTTGAGCTCGGCGTGTCAGCATTTTGAAAAACCCTAACTTAACTCTGGTGCCGTGTCACATATAGAAATTTTTTGATCTTTGCAACCATAGTAAAACAAAGACTTATATTTTTGATATTTATTTTATATATTTAAATGCCATTTAACAAAGCCCTAGCTGGTTTGGCTCAATGGACAGAGCGTAGTAGGCCTGCAGACTGAGGGGTCCCAGGTTCGATTCCGGCCAAGGGCCTGTACCTGGGTTGCAGGCACATCCCCAGTAGGGGGCGTGCAGGAGGCAGCTGATCGATGTTTCTCTCTCATTGATGTTTCTGACTCTCTATCCCTCTCCCTTCCTCTCTGTAAGAAATCAATAAAAAATATTTTTAAAAAATAAAATAAAATAAAGAGGGGTCTGACTGGGCAGGCCTGGGAGGCCCACTGCACCCCATTCATTCTCCTTCTCCAGGCTCCTGTTGTTTTTCTTTTCTTTTTTTAAAATCGATTTCAAAGAGGAAGGGAGAAGGAGAGAGAGATAGAAACAACAATGATGAGAGAGAATCATGGATCGGCTGCCTCCTGCACGCCCCCCACCAGGGACCGAGCCCACAACCAGGGCCTGTGCCCTTGACCAGGAATCGAACCCGGGACCCTTCAGTCCCTAGGCCGACGCTCTATCCACTGAGCCAAACCGGCTAGGGCTCCTCTGTGGTTTTTCTGGAACAGAAACGAGCTGCGGGCAGCGAGAGGCCTTTCTCGGTGTCTCTCAAAAATCTGCAAGTGCAGGCTCCAGAGAACCCGGGAAGGGGTCCCCCTGCACGCCCCCCCCCCCCCCCCCCCCCCCCCCGGCTCATCGCTGCTGGAAGGTCCCTCGAGGCTGGTCCCGGGACGCTTGCAGGCACCGGGTGTAAGTTCCTGGGCACAGCGCGCTCCCCACCCCCCGGGGCTGGTGGGGAGAGAGGCGCAGGGGTCCCTGGGTCCCTGGAGAGGCAGCTTGGGCGCCGGGAGACAGAGGCGATGGCACTGCCCGCCGCTGCCGGGCTCCTGGGCACTCAGCCTGCGCAGGGCAGCGCAGTGGACGGGACGGGGCGGGGTGGGTGGGGGAGCGCGGCGAGAAGCTTAGCAGCTCCATCCAGATGCGAATTGTCCCCCCCACACTTCCCGGGCGGCAGGGGCCTCCATTAGAGCCCCCCGAGGAGTCAGAATCCACACCTCCGCAAATGGGCCCGCTTTCCCAGGGCCCCCCTGCCCAGACCTTCCCCGGGCTCTGTGGGTTTTGACACCTCTCTGCAACCTGGCGGGAGGCCACCTCGCACCTCTGGTCCGGATAAAAAGCTCGGGGCCCGGAGGTGGCCGGCCCAGCCTCGCGGAGCCCGCGGCCCGGCCATGGCCCAGTCCCCGCCTCTGCAGACCCTCGACCCCTGGATCTTACCCCAGGGCTGGGGTTGGGCCGGGCACCCGGACTCCACGTCCCCGGCCTCCTCCTCCTCGGACTCGTCGGGCTCGTGCCCCTGTGACGGCGCCCGCGGCCCCTCGCAGCCCACGCCCCCCGCCCGCGGCGTCCGGACCCCACCAGCCGCCCCGACGGCGCCCGGACGCGCGCGCCCCGCCCCGGCCGGCGGGCAGCGGCAGAGCGCCAGCGAGCGCGAGAAGCTGCGCATGCGCACGCTCGCCCGCGCGCTGCACGAGCTGCGCCGCTTCCTGCCGCCGTCCGTGGCGCCCGCCGGCCAGAGCCTGACCAAGATCGAGACGCTGCGCCTGGCCATCCGCTACATCGGCCACCTGTCGGCCGTGCTGGGCCTCAGCGAGGACGGCCTGCGGCGCCGGCGCCCGCGACGCTGCGACGAGACGCCCCCTCGGGGCTGCCCGCTCTGCCCCGACGGCGGCTCCGCGCAGGCGCAGACGCCGACGCAGGCGCGCGGCCAGATCTTGGGCTCCGCCGCCCCCGTGGCGGGGTCTTGGGGGTCCCCACCTGCCTGTGTAGGAGTCCCAGCAGCGCCCGAATGCTTGGGAAGCAGGGTCCCCGACGTGGGTCCTTGGGTTTCACCCCCTTACTGTTCCGGGACGCAGTCGCTTCCGCAAGTGTCCCCACGTAGGGCCCCCGATGCGGCCCTTTGGACGCCGCCCGAAGCCGGTTCCGGAACGCAGACACCTGGAGTGCCCGGGACCCCGGCCACGACCTGGGCGCCGCCCCCCGCCGCCCCGGAGCCCGCTGCAGCGTACCAGGTACCGTGTCCAGGCTGCAGTTGGAAATGGACGGGGTGGGTAAGCTCTAGTCTGCAGTAGATTCTATAGTTTTAAGATCCCGATTATCCAATCCCACCCGGGTTAGGGGTGGAGAGAAGCTGAAGGGGAGATGGAGAGGGCGCTGACCCCTTGGGGAAAGAGGTGGGGCCCTCGCAGTTAAGGCCACCAACACCTAGAAGTCCTCACTCAGACTTGCTCCTTCCGCCCTGGCCTCTGGAGGTGGCAGGAGCCATGTACCAAGGTGCTCCATTCAGGGCTGGGAGTAGGGAGGGAAGCCCGGGCAGCTCCAGGATTAGGGGCTTCCTGATCGATGGTGACCTTTATGTTTCCTTCCAGCTTCATTCATTCATGAGGCCCATGAATCATGGTCCATAAAATAGCATATTCATAACCAAAATGTATTACTGGGCATGAATTGACTCATTCTGCCCTGCATCAGCCCTATGAAGTAGGTGTTGTCATCATCCCAATTTACAGAGGGGAAAACTGAGACTAGAAGAGGTTATCTTTGTTATCTGGTGAATAGCAGAGCTGGGATTCGAACCCCGGCAGTGTACCTGCAGAGCGGACACTCTTAACCACTTTGCTTCGCTGCATCCAGGATGCCAGGGCTGTTCCGGAGCTGCCTGCCACACTCTGAGGAGCATCCAGGTTCGAGATCTCAGGGCATCAGGCAGGAGCCCACTAACCAGCTGCTCTTGTCTTTCTTGCAGGGTATCTGTGTGTCTCCAGAGTCCTATCTGCTGCCAGAAACCCCACCCCTCCTGCCAGGCCCAGCATGCCAGAGACTGCAGCCTCAGACCCAATGGGGATACTGGAGCCACAGTGCAGAGGGGCTCCCCAGCTCAGAGCACCAGGGACCAGGCCCCACCTTCCATTTCAGTGATGAAGGCCCTCTCCAGAGCTCAGGCCTGCAGCTCAGTGGCTGCCCTGAGCTTTGGCCAGAAGACTTGGAGGGGGGCCACCTGAGCATCTTCTACTAATGGCCCTGCCTGTCCCCTGTTCAACTAGGAATCAGGCCTGTAGTGTGGGCGCCCTCATTTGCGAGGTCAGCGGTGTTCAGACTTTCCTTTAGCCCAGGATCCCTTTTCCAAGTGTTGCCTTTCGTGGAAGCAGTGTTTGGTGGCCTCCCTGGCTGGCGTGGGGGCTGGGGCAGTGCCCTCTGCTCCTAGGCACCCCCCAAAATGACTAGTGCCCTGAAGAGCACAGCCCAAGCTGCAGAAACACCCCAGGGCTGGGGTTGGGCCGGGCACCCGTGGCCCCTCGCAGCCCACGCCCCCCACCCACGGGGACTGCTTGACCACCAAGTTGGCAGGGCTGGGACTGACGGGGGGTGGATTGGGGGAGTGGGGTGGGCTGAGGGCAGACCCCTGTATACTTTGTGTTTGAAGAAACACAACACAGCGCTTGCCGGTTTGGCTCAATGCATAGAGCGTCGGCCTGTGGACCAAAGGGTCCCGGGTTCGATTCCAGTCAAGGGCACAGACCTGGGTTTCAGGCTCCTCTCTGGCCCTGGTCAGTGCGCATGCAGGAGGCAACCAATCTATATCTTTCTCTCACATCAACGTTTCTCTCTCTAAAAAAAAAAAGTCAATGGAAAAAATATCCTCGGGTGAGGATTAAAATGTAAATAAATTTTTTTAAAGTTGCTTTGTTCTGTGTTTATTGACTTGACTTTTTATGGCCTCTGGGAAAGGGGAAATGTTCCCATGTCCTGTGGGGAACAAGTCCTGCCCGACCAACGCTGATGTGGGCCCTCATCACGTTTGCCGATTATCCAATCTTGCCGATCTGACCATGTTCATTGCGCAAGGTCTCTCTCTACCTGGCCTGCTGTGCAAGGTGGCAGAGCAGGTTGCCTCGTAGACCTGTTCACCTGCACCAGCCCGGTGCCCCTTTCCATTTTCCTGGGGGACCTTCCTGCTGACAATTACATGAAATTGTTTTCAAAGGATGCCTGTGAGAGGCCCCCAGGGACTCGGCTAGTGCATTAGTGGGCTCAGGCTGCCCTGACAGAATACCACAGATGGAGTAGCTAAACAACCAAGCTTTGTTTTCTCCCAGTTGTAGAGGCTAGAAGTCCAAGATCAACGTGTCAGCAGCAGGTTTGGTTTCTTCGAGGCCTCCCTCCTTGGCTTGCAGGCGGCCACCTTTTCCTCACTGTGTCCTCACATGGTCACCCCTTGGTCTGTGTGTCTATCTTAATCTCTTCCTCTAAGGTCACCAGTCATAGGGGATTAGGGCCCGCTCATCTGACCTTAATTACCTCTTTACGGGCTCTCTGAACCCCAAGCTGGGTGTGGATGTCAAGGCCCTGACTCCCCACCCAGTGCTCTCTCCTTCCCAAGAAAACCCAAGGTCTTGGCTCCAGTCTCAGGGCATCTGCCCCGAAGGCAGCACTGAACACCTGCCCGTCTCCTTCCTTTGGCTCCCACCCATCCGGGGTTCATCTTAAAGGGACAGAGAGAAGTATCCCTGGCCCAGTCACCCATGACTACGCCTCCCTCCCCCCAGCTCGGAAGCCCTGCCAGGGCTGGCATAGAGCCCAAGAGTCCTGGCCTTTAGCAGCAGCAGCCAGAGCGGCGTGTCTTCTAGAACTTGGCAGCTCTGCTTTCCCAGGCTCCCTCAAGAGGTGTTCCTCTAGGACAGCGGTTCTCAACCTGTGGGTCGCGACCCCTTTGGCGGTCCAACGACCCTTTCACGGGGATCGCCTAAGACCATCCTGCATATCAGATATTTACATGACGATTCATCACAGTAGCAACAAACATTACAGTGATGAAGTAGCCATGAAAATAATTTTATGGTTGGGGGTCACAACATGAGGAACTGTGTTTAAAGGGCCAGATGGTTCAGAACCACTGCTCTAGGAGGTGCCAAGACAGAGGCAAGAGGCTGCCACCACCCCGGCTGGAGTTGCCTGAGAGACATCCTAGATCAGTGATGGCGAACCTATGACACGCGTGTCAGAGGTGACACGCGAACTCGTTTTTTGGGTTGATTTTTCTTCGTTAAATGGCATTTAAATATATAAAATAAATATCAAAAATATAAGTCTTTGTTTTACTATGGTTGCAAAGATCAAAAAACTTCTATATGTGACACGGCACCAGAGTGAAGTTAGGGTTTTTCAAAAAGGCTGACACGTCGAGCTCAAAAGGTTCGCCGTCACTGTCCTAGATGCCGCTGGAGTCGGGGAGCAGGGCCCAGGGGGATGGGGCTAATCCCACCCCTGTCCTCACCCTCTGGGAGGGAAGCTCTTGGGAATAGCAGCCCCTGGCCCCCATCCGTCCGGTCTGTGGCTCCATCCCAGGCCGGCTGCTCTCGGCTGCACCTCTGCCAAGTGAGGGCAGGGGAGGAGAGGTGCCGATGCCAGTGCCCATCCTGGGGTGGCCGGTCTACCCGCACCTTCCTGGGGATCCCAGTCAGCATCTGGGCGGCTGGGCACTGGCTGAGTGCCTCATTCAGGCCTTTTTTTTTTTAATATATTTTATTGATTTTTTACAGAGATGAAAGGAGAGGGATAGAGAGTTAGAAACATCGATGAGAGAGAAACATCGACCAGCTGCCTCCTGCACACTCCCCACTGGGGATGTGCCCGCAACCCAGGTACATGCCCTTGGCCGGAATCGAACCCGGGACCCTTCAGTCCGCAGGCCGACGCTCTATCCACTGAGCCAAACCGGCCAGGGCATCATCTAGGCCTTTCAGTGGCCCCACAGTGTAGAGAAGGACATGCCTCCCGGATGGTGGGGAGCAGCACTGTACCCCGGCTGCTTCCTGCAGACCCTCAGATCCTGCCTTCCCCTGGGGCCTCGAGCCCTAGACAGACAGGGAGTGAGCAGTCTGGGTGCTAGTGGGCTCACGCTCTGTGTGTGACCTTGAATGAGGTTCTGCAGGCAGGTCTCGCTCTGTCCTTGCTGCAGCCCGGGAACTGGTTTCCTCCAGCCACACAGGGCCTGGTGAATGCCAGCGAAGTGAGTTGTCAGGTGGCCCTGGCCGAGCATGTGGGGTGTGGCTGGCACAGACCCTGCCTCAACGCCACTCACGCAGGGGCAGGGGAACCAGTCTCGGGCCTCCTTCCAGCCCCACTGAGCTGTGACTTAACCTCCCTCAGCCTTTTTCCTTATCGGCAAAACCTAGATAAAGACTGTGCTTATCTCCTCCTGGGACTGGTGGGAACGAAATGAGATAATGCGCATAAGTGCTGAGCCCAGTGCCAGGCACAGAGACTAGGATCCTTGCTGACTCTTCTCCCTGGAGGCCAGCTCTCCCCCAGGGACACGAGATGGCGGGGCTGACCCCTCCCCCAATGGGGACCCCCTAGGGGCCCCGAACTCTGGTCCCTGAAGGTCAAGTGCCAGCCGCTGCTGCTGGGCACTGGCGACAGGAAGGGCTGGCCCAGAGGGGACCTAGTTAGTGGAGGGACCCCACTCCACCCCGGCTGGCCCCGCCCCACCCTTTGATGTGCAGCCACCAGTGGAGCACAGGGGAGCCTGTGAGGGGAGAGGGCCTTGAACCCAGAGACAGGGCTAGGACCATCATAACAGCCACTTCCTCTTACCCGTCAGCCCAGTGGTCAGTACGCGGACTCCTTCCATCCACACACCGATCCTAGGGTCAGTCTTCTTTTTTGCACAGATGACGAAACCAAAGTCCCGGGTTCTGGTCACTTGTCCAGGACACAGGGGCTGACATATCTGAAACCAGGCCTCTGGACTCCCAGGCCCCAGCAGCTGGAGCCCTGCAGGCCTTCAGTCTGTGACGCCCTCTCTGCCTCCCACCCGCCCCGCAGGCTCAGCTGGGCCTTATGGGGCTGAGGCCCAGGAGAGCTTCCTACCACCTAGCTCAGGGGTCCCCAACCTTCTTTGGCCACGCCCCACCGAAGCATCTCTACCATCCTGATGCCTCCCACCCTGTGACATAGAATTCTTTTTTTTTTAAAAATATATTTTTATTGATTTCAGAGAGGAAGGAAGAGGGAGATAGAAACATCCATGATGAGAGAGAATCATGGATCAGCTGCCTCCTGCGAGTCCTCCACTGGGGATTGAGCCCACAACCCGGGACACAGAATTCTTATTATTCAAAAAGTGAGCTCCTATTCACGTGGAGGAAGCCTCAAAGGCCATGAACTTGGTCTAAACAAGCTTCCAAAGAACATGGCATCCATGAAAGAGAGAAATAAAAGAACGAAAGGACAGTGGAAGGACTGAGGAAGAAATCACTAAGAAACGGTTAAAAAAAATAATAGCAATATGAAGTGATATGAAGAAATAGCAAATAGCCGAAACCGGTTTGGCTCAGTGGATAGAACATCAGCCTGTGGACTGAAAGGTCCCAGGTTCGATTCCAGTCAAGGGCATGTACCTGGGTTGCAGGCATATCCCCAGTAGGAGGTGTGCAGGAGGCAGCTGATCGATGTTTCTAACTCTCTATCTCTCTCCCTTCCTCTCTGTAAAAAATCAATAAAATATATTTTAAAAAAAATAAAATAAATAGCAAATAAAGTTTCAAAACATAGAATAGAGCCCTAGCCGGTTTTGCTCAGTGGATAGAGCATCGGCCTGCGAACTGAAAGGTCCCTGGTTCGATTCCGGTCAAGGGCACATGCCCGGCTTGTGGGCTCAATCCCCAGTGAGAGACTTGCAGGAGGCAGCTGACCCATGATTCTCTCTCATCATGGATGTTTCTGTCTCTCTCTCCCTCTTCCTCACTCTGAAATCAATAAAAAAAATTATATTAAAAAAAACATAGAGAACTGAATTGCATAAATATACCACAATATACATTTATAGACTGTTTATGAGGCCCTAGAACCATAAGAAATGCAAAAGATTCCCTGTGAATAACTCATCCTCAAGTTGCCCCCCTTAAACATCAAATTGCCCCCCTGTTGGGCGTGTGCCCCACGCCGGGAACCACTGACCTAGCTCTATTTGCCAAGAAATTCCCAGCAAGTCTGATGAGGGCTGTGGAACCCATAGGTCCCAGGCCTTGCCCTCAGTGTTGGCCCTGGCCACCAGCTCCCCCAGGGGACAGGGGGCCCTGCCGTTTTCAGCATGCTACTCTCGATAACAAGGTCACGAACTGACATCACACCCACCCACCATGGACCCTGGGGAGGTGGCAGGACCTGCCCTTCCCCTCGCTGTCCCAGGTGTGCGGCTGCGGTGCAGGAAGAGGGACACTGGCAGGCCCCACTCTGGCTGGCACCCCGCCCGCCATGGGACGCTGTGCCTGGGCCTGCCCTCTGCTCCCCAGGCCCCCAGCACCCACAGTACTCAGGTGAAAGGAAAACGCAGCAGATAGCGCCCACAAGTATTCTGCAGGAAGGCCCAGCACCCCCCACCTCCCCCCACCTCCCCCCCCCACACACACACCGCTTCCCGCCAGCCCAGGCTCCCCAGCTGCTGTGCGGACCCCTCCTGTTCTGAGTCTGGAAGTCATGAGTCTGGAAGCTCATCTAGAAATCCTTTATCTATATTTTCTCTTAGAAAAAAAATATACAGATCTGGTGTCTGGTGGAG